CTCAGTGAAGAGCTGACAGTGGAGAGAGGTTTTGGGACAGATCTTTAACTCTCTGATATAAGAAGTGAATTTTTGACACTGGCACCATACCAGGTAAATAATTCCACTGCAGGGAGACAGAGGAGGGAGGAGTTTAAATATTCTTGGGCTTCAATTTTCATCAACCGCTGCATATCCAAAACCACTTAGATTGAAAGAAAATTGGCTACCAAATTGGCTATGCTTTGAAAACGCAGATGTGGTAAGTGGAGATTATAAGATGCTGCAGTTCTTCCTATCTTTATTTGGAATTCTGTGATGTACAAAAAAGGTAGATGTCCCCCCCCCCAGCTTTTCTGTGGGAGCGGGAATGTTGGGGCAGCAGGGAAGTTTGTTAGGTTGATCTTTGTTATCCGAAATATCCAGGTACTTAAGACTTGTTATGATGATTTCAGAGGTCTTTAAAGTGATGCAAAAATGTCCCATATAATTTTACATACGTAAATCATCTTGCTCTCATTCCAGAAGGGTACGGGGCTCCCTTAGGTGCTGCCTAATACTAGTACAGTTCTGTAGGATATCTTGCATGGGAATAAATGTCTATTTGGGAACAATTTAAGTCCACTTCCAATTCCAAAGGGACAAAGGAATACAAAGTTACCATTCTGAAGAAAGATTTGTTTTTCCAGCCAGTGAATCCTCAGTTGTAAGCATAAGACCAGAAGAAACTGCCCAATTCCATTTTTGACATCAGTCTACACTGATTGGAAGTTAATACTTGAAGACTGAGCAAACTGCCATTTCAGACACTTTTACAGAAATGCTGATGTGATATTCTGGTTTCTCACATACATTCTCTCTTATGCCTTTTCAAAACAGCTTAGCACTTTGGTTCTGCTGACAAGAAAAGATTTGCTTCTCATCAGCCGAAGGTAGCTCGTGGCTCACTGACTGCAACAAAGTGTTCTTGGTTTAAAGAAACTTTTACAGTCCATTACTCACATTTCTAAAAATCAAATCATGCCCAAATAATGCTTATTTTTACAGATATCCAAAACATTTCTGTCCCACAAGTCATTTTGATGAAATCAAAGAAACTGGATGAAGATGACAGCACTGGAAAAGCAGCTTGTTTGGCAAGGAATGTCTATACAAAGAAAATCAGCTTGAACATGTCCTCTAATGAAGTCGTATATGAACCAAGTGCATCCGTTTTGACATCAGAGGGGTTGTACAATACTATTAAGGTGGTCAGCATGACAAAAGGCACAGAGTTGACCTGCACAGCCAAATTCAACGGCAGCACAATCACAACCAGCACAAGCTTGCCAGGTACAGTTCTGTGGTACAGCTTTGGCTGTGTTGGGTCATACAAACATCTTGTTTAATCCTTTTCAAAAGATAGTTTTAGATTTTAGATACAGTTTATAATGCCTTTTCTTTATGTGCTACAGAAAAGGATGCTGAAGACCCAGAAATGGGGAAGGTTTGCAACACCACAGACACCTCTGCACAAGGTTAGTTATCTAAATAGATTGTGAAGTTCCATTACTATGCTGAGACTAAATGCATGGAAATGTATTTTCTCAGGGGTAGAGGAATCCGAATACAACATACTCATCAAAAACAACCTGCTTTTTCAAGGCAGCTAGCTTAGTAGCAGACAAGCAACAGGAAGCAAAATCCAGTCTAGATAGACAACCTTCTCCCTTGTTGTTGCCATGTTTCTCTACTGTCTTTTCCTTTGTTGTTGTTCTTTCCCTTAAACTATTACCCAGGGTTTTTTTCCCCCACTTTCTGCCAATATCACACTATCCAAATCTAGGCCATGATCTCTCCCATCTTTTCTCTATCACTAAGCAGGTACTAAAGTGGAAAAAGCAAACATGCTGTCTATGGCTGTGTTGGGTTTGAGAGTCCTGCTGGCAAAAAGCATCGCCTTCAACACACTCATGAGTATCAAATTGTTTCTTTTCTGAGGTAAGGAAGCAACAGCTTGATCTGTAGGAATACTGGAAGCACATGCCAGAAAAGACCACTTGTCTGTGTGTGCGTCTCTAACCACACAAGTTACAATACCTATTTATCTGGTTCTGTTTCCTTTAAATAACTATAGATTTCTGGGACCCCCCTAAACTATGATAAAAAACTCCTCCCAAAACCAACAACCCGCCAAAACAGCTAAAAATCTCACAAATCACAAACAACCTCTTTCTGTAGCCAAAGCTCAGGTCTCGGTGGCTGGTCCCCAGATTTTCTCTGCAGCCAACTTGCTTTGTGAGAACAGCTTGGGTATTACCAGAAGTACCTTAGAGGTATCTCATTGACTATTTCAAGTGGCAGAGCACAAAGCCTGGAGAAAAATCAAGATAAATAAGGAGACAAAGCAAGGCTTCCAAAACACAAACATGTGAAGTAGTGGAGGAAAGAATGAAGGGGGCAGGATTTTTGAATTAAGATATCTGAAGAGGCACAAAAGATGGTCCAGCCTAAGCTTTGTGAGTCTACCTGTCTTGATCTGACAGCTATGAAACAGTGGGATGTAGGTCCAATTGCCTTAAATGTAATTTAAAACATACTTTACTCTTGCAGACAGTGACGAAGCAAGGAAACAGCAATACGAAAACAAGCAGGAGGGTGTATCAACAGCACAATGGGATGAACAGCCAGTGTCAGACCTGCTGACAACAACCATCCAGAACACAACACAGCTCCTTCCCCCTAAGACGTTTTATTCTGTTGAATCCTGCCTAGCTGATTTAAAGAGTTGTAACTACTTTTGCTGTTTCTTTTCCCTCTGTGCCTGAGAGTGTATTTTTCCTTATCCCCCTGCTGAGTGGAATTTGATCTCCTCTTTGAATTGCCTTTGAATAGAAGCATCTCACCTACTTCAATAGCTTTGAAAAATCCAATCCTCCTTATAGACATATGATACTTTTAAAACACCTTTTACAGCCATATTGCATTACAGTCTGTGAACTGATGTATTCCTGTTGAGAGAATTCAGGCAGAGTAGATGCTATTTACAGTTTTAATGTTTTTTAGATAGCTTTAATTACAATAATTTTCTAGTGTAGAAGACCTGTGTTGGATTTGAAGTGATTCACTTCAACCAGATAATGTTCAGCCATAGAAGCATTTCTTTATTAAACCTGTATTTCTTCTGCAAAGTGTATAGCACATGCATTTCTAGGTTCCTGTGGTAGTGACCAAAATAAAGCTTTGCTAAGCCAAAATATTGTGGTTTGTTTTGTGCTTTTTCTTCTGAATTTGGGTTGAAGATTGCTGAAATCCAACTGTCCTGATGACCACTAAGATTAGAAACACAGTTTTGATAATCCAGATTTCTTGTTGGTTGAATTTGTATTTTGTAGACTCTGCACAAGGAAATGGAGATTCTCTCTGGCACATTAAAAAGCATCAGCAGGGCCATGAATTCTAGACTTGGGGATTCGAATGAGGTCTGGTCTTTCAGGTCACTTTGAAGAGATCTCAGTAAGATATTTTGCATCATAGCAAGAAGAGATACATGCCTAAAAAGAAGTCAGTTAAGAGGCAGCTTATGGAATGATAATACCAGAAGAGAAGAACACATGCTGTTTTTTTCCACTCACTGATACTAGGAAGAGGCCAACAGGAAATAATGTACGGTGGTTTGATGGAGCGATAGTTTCCAGAGCAACCTGGTTAGTAGTCAAAAAGACCCCACCACACACATTCCCCAACTTGTCTTCCTCTCACAGGCAACAGGCAGGATGCTGCTGTCAACATTTATGATTAAGTTACACCCTGCAAAATTAACTCCTTCTTGTTTTGAAAAACAAGTTAACCACATCCTGAAGGGAAAAGAAGGTTTTTCACACAGTGACTGGGTTACTGCGAGGTTCAAGCAGCCTTTACAGAGTGCATAGTAATAGTCTGTTTAATGAAGCTTTGCTAAGTTAGTCACTGAGACCCTGCAGACACCTAGAGGAAGACCCTCACCCTATGCAAAAGATAAGTGAAATTTGCATGGAAAATCCCGAACTAGTAAAATGCTTATTTAGCGCATTCTATCACATAATGTAAATCAGGGGGAGCCATTCACTCGTGTTTTCACCCTGATTTTCTGATGACGCTCTGAACCTTTTTATCTTGCACTCCACACCTTTCCCAGTCTCCCAGGCAAGAGTCAGACTGGGATTACCGTTTCTGTGTCTCTGCAAATCAAGGAATGACATTTTCCTGATTAGTCCTTGGTTGTGCCTGGCAGCTTTGGCAGAATTAAAATCCTGCAACACCTCACAAGCAAAAGGAGGGATCTACAAATGTGTGGCTACTGAGGAATACTGTTGACTCCTACAGAAATTTATCAGCCGGAGAAAGACATCAATCTCTATTGTTTTAAACACTTATTCACATTGGTATAGGACACCAGAGCCTTCATCTTCATCACTAGAAGATTCATGCCCCGAGTGATACACCCGTGGTCAGTTTTTTAAGATCCTCCTGGGCACCACTGGGAAACCAGTTGAGATGGAAAACCAGGTTTTATTTCACCTTCTCATCATATAACCTTTTTACAGATATTTCAAATAAGATAAACTGATTGTTCTCTTCTTATGACTTTAAACAATACCAAACTACATAAGAATGGTAAATGTTAAACATCTGCTTGTACAATTGAATCTTTCTGTTATCTTATACAGCATTAAAAATACAATATAAGCAAGATATCCCTGCATTCTGCTGGGTATCGTTTGACTTGTGCGTTCTAACAAGTTCTAAGACTAAGTAAAGTGCCTGGTCAAAGCCGCCACATTGCTGTGAACTTCCCTACCTTCCCTTGATCTCTCCTGCACCCTGCTGGTAGAAGTGTTTATTGTTCTTACAACGTTTTAGATTTGATGAAATCCAGTAAATGGATCAAATGAACAAAAACTCAACCCAACCCAAACCCCAAACAACCTCCCACCACCCAGTAGTAGGTGTTGTCTCTGCACATGCCACAAATCAAACTTCTTTGCTCTTCGTTTGGCTTCTTCCCTTGCCAGTAGGTGCAGATAAAAGCCCTTGTTACGTGATAAAAAGGCTTTAGAAAGTCCAGTGCCAGAAATGCACAGGTAAAAGATGAATACTTGAACTCAGATTCAAACAAGCTTTATTCGAAGATAGAAGCTGAAACAGTTGGGCAGTTGTAGGTGATTTATAACAGGAAAAAATGGAGTAGAATCCAGGAAACATCGACAGCACTGTTTTTGAAATCCATTAGTGTTTCTAAGGGAGCTTAAACTCTAAGTTATTCAGGAAACTTGGTGGTCCTAGGCTGGATGAAAGATGTCTTGATGGGATTAGAGTACGTGTTTGTCCTCTGGAAAGCTGTTATGTCAAAAGCAGGCTAGGCTCTTCCAAAGGTGTAGACATCTTGCTAAACAAGGAGAAAGTCTGAAACAGCAAGGAATGCAGCAGAAACTTTTTGGCTTCAGGCAATGAAGAGACTGATGGGAAGATGGATGGATACAAGTGCCAAAGAGTCTGGTGTTCTCTGATAAAGAAATTGCAGGGCAAGTTGGTGCATCCAAGAAGTCTACAGATGAGATGCAGCCAGAAGCTGTGTTCTTCTGGTGAGGTTGTCTGCTCCCTTGAACTCTCAGATCTTCTGCAGAAGGGTTTCTCACTGTGGAAGGACCAAGCCACATCAGTTCCATCAAGTTCTGCTTATGGACCTGTCTGTTTCTGGAAACAGGTAAGCCTGTTTGCTTTTAGCCAGGAATTTTGCCACAAACCTATTTGCCACGAACTATTATATACAAACCTATGTATATAATAGTTCATCGAACTGGTAGTTCAGGGTGCCATACACTGGGATGTTTCTCTATATCAGATACACTGAAGTCACAATAATGACTATACCAAGGGGTATACTCTTGAACCGGCATAATTGAGTTTAATGGTACAGTCAGTCAAGGGAAGGGTGGATGTTAAAGAATCGGCCTTAGAGATGGTCACTTGCTATAAGAGTCTGGCAAAATGACTTACCCTTTGGTCTCCACTCTGTGTGCAACAGAAGAGAAAAATTAAATTCCTTAAAACTTCTCATGTACCCAAATGCTGCAAATAAATGTGCTTGAGGCTGCTTGGCTGGAGTGGATCTGATTAGCTAAGATATAAGATCATTTATTCCCTCAGTAAGAAATTTCCCAACTATCTGTGTTTCCAGTTAGTGGATGTGTCACATTTCAGATAACAATGAGTAGGTTAATTCAGGTACTGACTTGAATCAATCTGTATCTTATTTGTAATGCCCTGATGAGGTGTGAAAAGGACTATGCAGGGCTGCATTCATGACATCTTCATCATTGTATTGCTAAATATCTAACATAAATCATCCATTTAAATGTATGTGGGACCACACAGTGTATGCAAAGAACAGCTGAAACGTGCATATCCCTCACAGCAATTCATTAGGAGTATGGTTAATTTTTTGACTGCAAAGGCAAGTTCTCTTTCTCTCTTATATTTTAGTCTGCATATAAGATCTGAAGTCTTTGTGAAGAACAAAGAACGAAGGCTTGTAGTGAGGCTGCAAGCATTTCCCTGTCCAGATAGCTCGCAGAATGGAAATGTTTTAATGAGATTTCAAATATATGCCTAGATTTTCATTGCTGGGTTGAGTAAGTCTGGGATGGGACCATCTTGGTTCATTCCTGCCCAGAAATCACCACAGATCTGCCATTTCCTTGATTTATGTATAATCGCGGAGCAGGAAAGATTTTTGCAAAGGAATTAAATGATGTGTGAATTTAGGAACTATTTATAACACGTTGCAGTTTGGCAAAGGAACAAGGCTCAGAGTTACATCAGGTAAGTGCATGATCTGAACAAAAGTATCTTGAGAAGTACTGGAGAACCTGATGCTTGGAATTGGTAGTACCTAATGATCCTGGAAAGGGAATCTTCTTCCCTATTTTCTGCTCCTAGGGCTGAAATGACAGTGTGG